TGCCTGGGCGGTTTGGTTTGCTCGTTTCCAGAAGATTTTCACTGGCTTGAACGCTTGTGTTAGATATATGAAGCTTCATCCATTACAAAGGTATCATCTTATTGATAATCTGAATCATGTTCATATTGCAGTCTTATGTATCTATGAGTTTACTAGTTCATTTGCTGATTGGCTTTCTCTGCTTGAGATATGTTGGTAAGACTTTGTTCTTAAAACTCCTGTTGAAGAGAGCTGGCACTACTATTGAGTCTCAGAGCTTTTCGAAAACATGAAATAGATCGTTGAATTCTGCTCTATCTCCGAGCAACAAAATTAGAATTTCGTTATCAAAGATTCAGTCGCAGTCAATTGAAGATTCAGGCAAAAATATGATAACCTTGTAGTTAGTTGAAGCAATTCTTTATACTTCCATCTATACAATCTCGAACCATCGCCTTTCATGCATTATAGAAAGTTATTTATTAGATTTAGATGAAGGGAGCGAGAAAAAGTATAAATCGTTTATAGGACAAAGATATTAAGGACAGAGTAGTGCCTTAAAACTTCTGTCTATGTTAGATGCTTGCATGAGCTGAACGTTTATTTCAAAATTCCAGTCATGTCCTTATCTTTCCTACTTCTTTAGCTTTTCAGATTGACTGTCCTCACTTCTTTTACGTAAATTATGCCCGTTTTTGAGAAATAGCAATGCTTTAGCGGAGGGATAAGAGAGTTTAGAATTCTTTGGCCTGTGATTTTGCCCAATTCTCCAGTATTTTATATTCAGCGTTCAGCTAAACTTTTATTCGAGCATACGAACCAGAAATCGTGTTACAGATTATACAGATTATGAAATTACGGCTAATAAGAAAGCCTACTTATATGGCAAAGAAGCGCGAGTGAAGAGCGAATTGTGGTGAAATCATGAGCAAATCTAATTTAGTGTGCGAGCAAAGCATTCGTGGGTTACTCTCGACGATGACACCACGGTGGGCTTTCTTCAATCATAACTCGTTTTTGTATTACTTTTTGACATTCAAAAGACGAGTGATATAAAAATGTTATGCGGAAATCGAAAATACTTGTCCGCTCAAAAGAGAATGGAAAATATTGTGAAATTCAAGAAATATCCTTCAAATGGGAGATTAGAATGTTTTCAAGTTGGAGGAAAACAATGTTGTAACTCATTGATACTTTCATGAATCTCCATTGGGAGTTACTGGATTCATGCAATGTGTTCCGTTTTCGTTTTTAATCAAAAGCCATGAAATATTATATTTGTTTCAATCCAACTAAACGATCTATTAGATGCGATCTGCGGGGAGATTTTATTTTTCATTTTTAAAAACAACGATTTATACAAACAACGAACTGATTTCCGATGTTTCAGAATCTGATGAAACTCTGAAGAAGCTCTACAGACAAGTATTAGCAGGTTATCAGAGAGAGGTATTACTGATAACATTAACCAAGCTTCATGTCTCAGTTATAGGTTCGCCCAGCTCTTCGCCATGACTTTCCCATAAACGTGACATTCGTGTTTTCGTTGACACAAATCATTGATGTCGTAAGTCTTCGAAAAGTTCATCTATTGTTATTTGAAATCTTTTTCTTTTTTTTAATTTCTTTTCTGCATTCGTCAGTTTGTTTCTTAAAGGATAGCTGAACTGAAAGAGTATTGAAGAGGAATGAGGCGAATGAGCAAGCTTGAAGGGAAATATTTCTTTCAATCTGCTCCAAATAGTATGAAGGAAATGAATATTCAATCATATTAGTTTCGTTCAAATACTCTCATTGTGTTTTTTTATCCAAAAGACTATGAGATACATTCATAATTGAATCTTCTCAGAAACTTTTTGTTTGAACTATGTTTCCAAGAGCCAAATTTTTAGGACGAGCGAAATCAAATTTTGACGACAAATGCTTGGGTGCGACAGGAGTGGACAGATTATAAACTTGTTTGGGATCCAAGAAATTTCGACAATTTAACCAAAATACATATCCCGCATCACAAGATATGGAAGCCTGATATCATTCTTTACAATAAGTCCATACTTGCTCTCTACATTTGTTTTTTGACTTAGCAACTTTAGTGCGGACTCTCAGTACAGCAAGTCAATCATGTCAACTGATGTTGTTATCGACTACTTGGGCAATGTTAGTTGGGCATCGGCTTCCATTTTCAAGTTTGTACGAGTGCTTTTATCAGATAAGAATAACCTTTAAGATCTTCTTGTCCATTGGATGTAAAGCATTATCCGTTCGATAAGCAAACCTGCACACTCAAGTATGCTAGTTGGGCTTACGATGGGACGAAAATTGATCTTCAATTACATTCTGAGATTGGTTAGCGGGTTTTTATACTCAAGCTTTCTGTTACTCATTTGTTCAGGGGATCAGACGAACTACATGATGAGTACAGAATGGAATTTGTTGAAAATAAGGCAAAAAGTGTTCTCTCTTCTTCTCAATAGTTTTTTCTTCAGAGCTGAGAAAAATGCGGTTGTGTATAGTTGTTGTCCAGATGCTCCTTATCCTTTCGTTGATATCCATATCAGTATAGAACGACGGCCAATGTTCTATGTCTGTACATACATCTAATACCTCAACTTATCATCCGTCGTTCAGGTCTTCAATCTTATCCTGCCATGCGTACTTATTAGTGGAATAGCCCTGCTAGGATTTTACATGCCATCCGATTCTGGAGAAAAAGTCACTTTAGGCATAACTTCCTTATTGTCTACTACTGTGTTTTTGATGTTAGTCGCCGAAGGAATGCCACCGACTTCCGAAGCTCTTCCTCTGATAGGTTTTGTCTTTTTCTTCATTTTGTACCTTCATCTTCAATCTTCAGGCATTTATTATGGAGTAACTATTGTTTTGGTTTCTTTAGCCACGGCTATGACGGTGTTCACGGTATCTACAAGACATCTGTCTCTCCCATAACGTATTCTTACAGTTAAATGTTCATCATCAAGGGTTACATGGTGGTCCTGTGCCACCTTTCTTACAAATTGTTTTGTTCAAAATACTTGCGCCTATCATATGTATCCGACTGGAACCTTATCATTCAATAACTCAACATGTCCGGCATATGTATGCTGTAAGTTCTGTGTTTAAGCAACGGGCTTCATAGAATGCTCATACAGAAAGATCATCCGGAAGACATGCAGCCGTTCTTAGCACAGTTGAAACCGGCTTGTGATGACAACAAGCCAGTGAAACGCAAACCAACACTGTCGAACGAAGTTCATAACGAGGAGTATTCCATCAACAGTAGTCCCAAACGGGTGAAAAAGGTAACTTTAAATTCTTCTCCGGTTTCATAATTATTAAAAACTAATTGTAACCTTACAGCCAGTGAACGGTCCTCGTCTTTTTAGAAAAATTAATGTAATTATTTTCAATTTTGCACTACTGCTTCTGCTTTGTTATAACTGCTTGCGCCTCTTGCTCTAACTCAATAACATACTAAGAAGCCGATTTTAGGTTTCGTTCTCTTCGCCTGCTCATACAGATCTTTCACGGAAGAAATCTGTAGCTTACTTATCAAAACCAGCCGACACGAATAACACTGATACTACTATTGATCCGTTTGAACGGGAGTTTTTGAAAGTTATGACTATGGTTCACGCTAGCATAGAAAGGAATGAGATGCGTGTTGCAGAGAAGGATAGGAGGGATGCTACACAATTAGAATGGCACCAGGTAGGATTCTCAAAACAAGTGATTCCAAATTAATTTTGTTAATTCTTTTCTAAAACCTCTAAATTGAACTTGCTTTATAGGTTGCCATGGTATTGGACAGGTTTCTTCTGATCGTATTCCTTATTGGAACTGCCTTATCGTCTTTTGTTATTCTTTATCAGAGGGAGTTAGGAATCTTCGAATGACTACAAAATCCAAACTTTCGTGTTATGTTAGAAACTATTGTAAAACGGGTCTGCAGTTTCCAAATGTTTTATTGGAAATAATATTGGAAAACTTAATAAATTACAGTATTTCGAAAGTATTGTTTCACTTAGCTGGTTCGAATTCCATGCTTACACTGTTAATACAATATCTCTCTCCTGTCTCTTTTGGACCATCGTCGAATACATGACCCAAATGAGCATTGCACTATAACTAGTATGGTAAAAGTCTTTACCGAAAGTTTTCACACCTTTTTACATCTGACTTCCGTTCTCTCCATGCCGTATGATTTGTCAACTATGCGAATGATGTTCATGTCTTCACCAATCGATTTTGAGAATGCTGGCCATCCACAACCTGCCCAGTACTTCGAGTCAGAGCTAAAGACAAAAAAGAGTTAATATATAATTGAAACTTACTTGAAAAGTTCAGCACCGCAACATAAACATATGTATCGTCCTTTCTCAAAGAACTTGTCGTACTTTCCGGAATGAGAAGGCTCCGTGCCTGAAACTGTGTTACTGTTTTCAAATGTTCAACCGTACCTGCTTTTCTTGTGACTTCATACTCTTCTGGTGAAAGCACTTTCTTCCATTCTTCATCAGTTATATCCGAAACATTCTTGTTAGTATTCAACTTGTTGATAGCAGCTCCTGAAAAAACATAAAACGAATATAAGAAATAGCATGATGTTTTACCTGATGATGATGATTCGTTACTCATACTGCAGAATCTCGTTCCAGCCACTAACTTCCCTGAAGTTCTTAAAAATGAGCGAAGCATTATAGCTAAAAATTTATGAAAATCAAATAGATTTCTCAAGCATCATACCTTATGCAGTTGTTTGTTTAAGGAGTGTACGTGATTGCGTAAGACGTGAGACGTTTTGAAGCAGACGCTCCCTCGATTGACTTGGTAATTATAATAATATTTTGTATTGCTTCTTCTAAACTCCCAGTCCGAAGTCTCTAAGTGTGGTCGTCATGGGGGACACAAAGTAAGCTTATAGTACAGGCAACAGTGTACTTATTTTCTTTTCAGTATGCGTAATGAAGATTTCCGAAAATTATTGGCATCCACGCCTCGTAGAAATGCTTCTGATACACCTAGGGTTGAGCATTCCAGTCACACATTCAAACATCCAAAATTCAAACCAGAAAAGAAGAAACCTCATTTAAAGGCCAAAAGAGTTTGTTTTTCCTTATAACTTCATTGTTACATGATGCTTTCAGGATAAAACTGAAGAAGATGAAGACAACACTAAGTTGAAAGAAATTCTCAAGAATTATCGTGATAGAGCAGCAGAACGAAGAAAGGAGGGACCTGAAGTAAAATGTTTCTTTTCATAATTTCTTTAACTTGACGTTGCAGGATTTTGCTTTGAACGAACGTTTAACTTCGGCTTACCGGCCTATACCATTAGATTCCAAAGATGAAGCAGATTTACGAAAACAAGCGATTGAGGTTGGCTTTTCTTTATGTGAGACTGTGTAAATCAGGCAATTTAGGAATCAAAATATCTCGGAGGAGATATGGATCACACTCACTTGGTAAAAGGATTGGATTACGCTTTGTTGAATAAAGTAAGTCTCCTTTGTTGTAGTTTTTCTTATTGATCAATCAGGTTCGAAGTGAAATCGCAAAGTCTCAAGATGATGAGAAAATGGATGACGAGCAATTGGAAAAGGCTTTCGTAAGTTTTCTAAAATGTTTCGTAGTTAAATCTTCTTCCCAGATTGAATCCGAAGGTCCTGGCGAACTGAAGTTCGACAGTGTTCTAGCTCGTAATATACATACGTTGTTGTTCAAAAATGAGTTGCCTTTGAGGTTCTTATTCTTTCATAATAATCTAAGTTCAACTGTTCATTGAAGAAACGAATTATTCGGAAAAGGACGAATGGCATACATCGTTAATATGGAGGAAGAAGATGATACTGATATTCCCACTACCTTGATGCGGTGAGATCTGCCTACGTACACTTGACTGTTCTGTTTAGGTCTATTCAAGAATGTCCAAAAAATGAATCGAATGCCAATATAAATGCCAATAACATGTTGATCTCCAAATTGACTCAAGTTCTTTCTTACTTACGCTCTGAACACAAAAAGAAAAAGAATAGAGCTGAAATAACTGAAGAAGAGAAATCTCATAAGGATTCGAGTATTTTCGAAAATGAAGATGAATATGTGCCAAAGAAAGAAAGAGACAGAAAGAGGTTAGTTCTAATGAGTTTGAATTAATTGAGTAAGTGGATATACGTTTCAGTGATAAGAACGAAGTTAATGATAGAAAGAAAGGAAGCTATTTTGGAGATTCTGATAAATCTAAAGATGCTGACCGATACAAAGACAAGGACAGGTACATATTCAGCTGTGTTCAGCTTTGATTCTCATGCTTAAGAAGAGAGAAAGATAGAGAAGAACGCCGAGAGCGAGAGCGTGAACGAGATCGTGAACGTGAACTTCGAGAAGAGGAGGAAAAGAACCGAAGACTACAAGAAAAAATGGATAAACGACGAAAAGAAATGGAATCGGGAGGGTAAGTAATCTAGAACACTTGTTGGTGTATCCTGACTTTTAAGCTACGACGAATGCTATCCTGGGGGGTTAGCTGAAATGGGTGGAGGAACATGGGATTCCGACGAAGAAGAAGATTTAACTAAAATGGATATGGGCTCAAAGAAAGGTTCATTGAAAAGATGGGATTTCGAGAACGAGGATGAGTTTGAAAAATATCAGGTATTGCTTGCACGAGTCTTTCAATCAGTTGACGATTGCAGAGAGGCAGAGAGGCTAACCCGAAGGCCGCTTTCCAATTTGGAGTGAAGTCTAACGATGGTAGAAAAACTAGGAAGTCCGGAGATACGAACAAGAAAATAGATAGGGAGTTGGTCAAAATCAACGAAATAAATGAAAAAAGAAAAGCTGGAGGAGACCGAGGGTAGCTGTTACATTTCGGCTTTTTCTTCTTATTATTGTTTTTTAGGGACTACAAGAAACCAAAATACTAAGGAACTCGTGCAGTTATTTATTTTTTATTCCGCCCAACTCATAATAAACTCTCATTAAATTTTTTGTTTACAGTAGGGATAATCAGTAGATCACATTTTTCAGATAGGATGGTACCACCTCTTCTTTCATACTCAGTACTTAGGCTTTGAATTTCATGAAAATCTCATTCCCCTTTTGCTCATTAGCAAGGTTTGTGAAAAATGTTAATCCAGACCCTGTGCTTGTCACAGTTACGTCCAAATTTTCAATGAATGCAATTGGAAGGGTCATCTGACTTTTCGATTCGGATTTAGAAGTGTTCAGTGGGGTCGTTCAGAATGCTTGAAAAGTTACGGTGCAGTTATAGTATTTCCAAAAACTCGAGAACAGCTATGATTATCAGACCTTCGTCTTCTACATTTACTTCCAGTAAACAGAGATAACTCTCTTTCAAATGTCTAGTTTTTCCCATAGGCAATAAAGAGATAAACAATTATCATTTTAAATACCGCGCATGACCAGAGGCGGTGCAATTGCGAAATCCTACAAGTCGATAATCCTATCGGCAATAGTTATCGAATCTGGCTCTTATCAGTTGCAATCATTCTTTTAAAATGAGCCAGATATCTAACGAAGCTTCCGCCGATGAGAACCAAGGAGATGATCTATCCCCATTTGAACTTCTTCCTCGTGAAATTAGGCTGAAGATTCTGGAATTAGTAGTAGAAGAGATAGAGCACTTCATTGTCTTCAAGGTATTTATAAATAGAGTACTAAAAACGATAGTTTTTTCAGTGGTTTTGGAGATTGAGACGTGTGAACAAGGAGTTCTACTCCATGTTCAGAAGCGATTATGCTAAACAACACTTCCTTAAGTGGCCCTGTTCAGTATATTTTAACGATTGTTTCATTGAATATCAAGTCAACGTGTATATTCATTGGCCGATCAGTTACACGAAGATGCAGACGAAATCTGTCTTAGATCCTACTCACGAGATACAAGTAAAATCTGAGAAAGGTCGCCTCATGCTGCGTACGATAGAGCTTCCAAAATACTTCAAGTAACACTCTTATCAAATCCTCGTTTCTGTTATTGTTTCCAGAGATAAACCGTTTGACATTGCTTACACACGAATCCATACCACTTGTCCAGGAGATGAAACTGTCCCATCGATTTTAAAAATGGCAAATCAAACTTCTGAGGTATTTCATTTGTCTTCTAATCAATCTACTCTGATCAACAACAGAAACTTTTCCTGGAATTTACGGGACCTAGTTTCTATACTTTTACCATGTTTGGAGGAGTGCGACAAAGACCTGAAACTAAAAAAGAAATAGAAGATCTTACTACAGCTGGGAAAATCGTTATCAAAATAGTGACAATGCTTGATATATATCGAAGTATGCCAAATCACAGTTTCTTTTCTCTTGACTACTAGTCTTTTCAAAAGTTGTTAAAGGAACGATTTGTTATTGTATTCGTTGTATTGATAAAGATTCTGTTTAATGTCGTTTTATATCAAATGACCAAACTTTCTTTTATAACCTCAGCTCCCGAGTCTTCAATTTCCATGTCCATTCTGTTGGTCTCCAATCTGCAATTATCCGTTTCATTTATACTATTTTGGGCTAATCATTATGCTGTAGTTTGATTTTTAAAGCCTTACAACTGTCTTACTGATCTATTGCTCCGCCCACCATGATCTGTTATTGCGGGAAAGTCATTTGGTAGTTGTTCTGTTGTAGTGGATGGTTGTGAATATGTGTTTTGCAGTAACTACTGTATGAAGTCGATATTTAATGTTTCTAAGTTGGTTAATGTTGCGTATTGCGTTAGCGGTTACGTTGTTCTCTACTTCTGTTTCAACTCTTAGTAAAGCATCACATCATGAGAAATTCAGCTCATTGTTTGTGATAGTTTTAGTTCTTGAGAGTATATGACGATAACTGATATTTCATATTTGGCATTGATAGGTGAAGTGTTTTCCAGAAAGGCTCCCGTTGAAAATCACGTTTTGACATTTGCTTTACGCTACTTATTGGCTCTTGAAATATATATGGCTCCGGTAAAGGAATCTTTTATTACAGTTGATCTTACTGTTAATTTTTACGTTTGGTATACTTCTTGAACTTTGGTTTGAAAATTACTCTTTGATTTCTGAAGTAAGCGTTCTTTAAAGAGGAGCTAGGGCATGTGCAAGTTGATACTGATTTGATTACAGTTGAAGCTCTCCAATAACCGTTTTTTGGTTTGGGTATTCTTATAAAGTTGTCAACAGTCTTGTTGTTGTTTGAGCTGACAAGTTCAAACCAAGCTGTTATTGTGACTGTCGTTTATATTGCTTGTTAATCTTCTAGTTCATGTTCATCGTGATTCCCTGCCTCACGAACACTGTTACAGATGTTCCGTGATCACTGAGCAGCTCTTTCTTCATTCTTGATGTTATATACTAGCTCGGTAAGCAATAGAGTATTTAAATTTTAAAAAAATTTATTTAAGAACAAAGGAAGAAATGGAACAACAACAACGGAGGAGGATCTGGC